ATGTGTTGAGTTTGATTCCTCATGCATAATTCATATAAAGCTAGCTCTATCTTATTTGTTACTGGTTTGTGTATAATAACCCCGCCGCCATCTCCATGTAAAAAATATTAGGAAATAATTATTGAAATATGTGACATCCATTATGTATTGCAATATTATTGATGACCTGTGGTTATGTGGTGGGTTTTTTATCTGGCTGCAGATAATCTGAGGTCAGACTATCATGTTCAACCCTTTTGAGGCTTCTAACAGTGCAAAAGATCAAGAGAGTTTTATTGTTGAGTGCTTTATTTGTTTATTTACAGTGTAATCCTGATTTTTCAAAACTTGTGGGGACAAGGAAGTTGGTTAACATTTTACCGGGAGGTTAAAAAAAAATCAGGTATATATACCTACATTTGTTACTGACAATTATCAAGAGGTTCATAAACCATGGGTTTGGGAAATAGGCCTGTTGTATTATTTAATAGGTCACGTGACCAATGCTTCCTTTAAACAAGGAGTTGAAATCTTGCTGATGCCAAAAATTGACAATTGCAGCCCTTGATTGGAAAATAGTTGCGAGAGCATTATTATTGAATCTTGTGTGAAAAGGTGTCAAATCCAGATTGTGGTCATTTGTGTGATCGTGACTCGTGATGTTTTTAGTGAGAAAGTCTTTTTTCACCAGAATTTTTTCAAAATTTTGTTTTAATAGAACCCGGCATGGTAATGTCCCACCTCTCAGATGACAATTTTTCAGGTCAACCGAGTGGGAACTTGGACCATTCTGTAGCTCATTGATTCCTAAAGTTTGCAGTGAATTCAGGTTAATTTAGAAAGTAGGTCAGCCTGATTGGAGTTTTTCGTGAAGGCTAAAATATAAAAGATGTTCATGGCCTAGCTTGGTTACCATTTAACATGTGCTGTTTGTCTAGCTATCAATGACATCAATGTACATTATAGCTGATTAATGAAGTACATTCGTTCTTCCAGATAGACTTTTTTTTTGCATGCATGCATGTGATCATGAAGTGATAGACAGTCAATCATGACTACAATAAAATTCCCAAATGGCTATCAGCTGTCAATTTAAGTGGTAATAAAACAGTGTAACACGACCATATGCATCATGCATAAGTTGGACTGTGTGCGCCATTAAACACGAGCTCTTAAATGCTTTTTTTCACTTTGAGCAAAAAACTTTCAAAACAAACACAATTTTTTTGAATCAAAAAGGCATTATACCATTTTTATTTTTTACAAATAGATTAGTACAATACCAAGAATTGCTTAACAGGATTTATGCTTGGAATATAACCTTACCATGAGAGTATTAAAATTTAACTGTTTACGTGAATAGGTTTTAAGTGCATGGTATCTTTCATCAGTTTTGTAGACCAGCTTCAAACTACCAAGATATGGAAGATGCTACCCTGTGATATCACAAGATTTTAAATACACTCGGTAAATCATACTTGCTCCTGAAAGTAAGTTACTCAGCTCTTTGTGACCTCTGTCATACACCTGTAGGCACTCTTTAGCTAATCAGTAATTTAATGAAGTTTCACTATATATTGAGATCATTACCTAGATCACTATTTCCTTTGATTCTCCAATACACTGCTGTAGTCAAGCCTTTGTTAATAATGGATCCCACCCTTAAGTATACACTTAGATCCGTAGCCAATAATACCAACACTGCAATTTCAATAGTGAACCTTTTTACTGGAAATCTCCCCTCCTAAATGAAGCTTTTTTGTGGTCCCTGCGCCACTAATAAACACTTCATTTTTAATTACCGGTATTGACATTTGTGGAAACATGGTTTTCTATCCTAAGCCAACACTAACTATTCGTGGACCCCAGGGGGCAGGGGGTGGGGGGGGGGGGTACCCCAGATTTCAAGTGACAGGGATGATCAAATGGGGCAAAAGTCAAAACCCCCAAAAAATTGTTGGACTAAAACTTAACCCCCAAAAAATCCCTTGCCGATTTTCCAAGCCATAAAAAATTTCCAAAGCAACTAAATGGCCAGGATACGCGGGAACTGTCACAAATCTTCAGATCAAGCTTAACCCCAAAAAATACTTGCCAAAATTTTAATACCTGAAAAAATCCAAAAAAAAGCTTTGATCATCCCTGTCACCTGAAATCTGGAGCACCCCCCATGGGTCATGGGCCCAGGCACTTACAAACACTTCATACTGGCCTTTGTGAAGCAGATACCTCAATCTCCCAGGTGGACACTTTTTCTTGGTTACAGGAGGATTGACTCTATAAATAAAGTAGCTGTGACATTAAGTAATTTATTGATTAATTTTTTTTTATTGTTAAAACTTAACGTTTTCTAATGTGGTGATCTTGTAAATTATATTTACATGGAATCCAAAAGAAGATGTAAATATTAGTCATCTGTATTGACACCAAAGAAGATTTCTTATGGGAGCCCGAGAAAATGAATGTCAAATTTCACAAAATTACATCTTACACATGAAATTTTCAGAATTTTAGCTACTGTTTTCACAATTCGTGTGAAATTTGACATTTATGTTCTCGTACTGCCGTGAAAAATTTTCTTTGGTGTTATTACTGATGACTAATAATTACTTCTTTAGCCCTTAGAAAATGTAAAAGAGAATGCAATATTCTTTAAATTATTCTGGTACAAGGTTTTTGTCTACTGAAAATTAAAATTACCTAATTTTCTGGTGGATTCCGTCTTTAAACTGTTAGGGGAAATCTTTAACCGAGACTCAATGGCGCAGCATCAAGACCTCAAAAGAAAAGGAGGTGCTCCTGACCATCAGGCAGTAATAGAAAATGCCCGGCCTCCACCTCTGAGTATTGAAGTGCCTAAAATGAGAGATCTTCCAAACAAGTCAAAACCATGGAGTGATGTCCAGTTTCCTGTTGACATTCTCTTATTGACAGTGGAAGACTGTGAGTTCTTGGCTTGTTATACATACTTGACAAATGCCTTTAAAAGTTATCATGTGAACCTTGGACATGTGTACTTTGGGACAATGGGTGAAAGTGGAGAGGAATCACTGAAAGTTGCTTTGATGAGATGTTCTAAAGGTTCTTCTGGTCCAAGTGGTTCTTTAGTTACCGTCAAAACTGCAGTGGTGCAACTGGGACCCAAAGCTGTGTTTTCTGTTGGCTGCTGCATTGGTTTAAACCAGAAAGGCACCAACTTAGGAGATGTGGTTGTATCCTCTACACTAACAACTGATGAATTCACAGCCCCTGTAAGAAGGAATATTGCCAACCTGATCAGATTTTCAACTGAAGGATGGAATCCACCATTAAAAGATCCAGCAGCTGGAGAACGAGTACAGGTACACCGTGACAGCAGCATATTGAGTGGCGTTAATGAGCCAGCCATTCCCAAACAACGCCGTAAGTCAGAGTCTCATTTGATTGCTTCGGAAAGGGAAGGAGAAGGTAAGATTTTTTAACAGTTTATGTTGGGTTTTCATACAAATCATATGCCAGGACCCTAGATTTTACAGTTTCAGAGAACTGGGCTCCCTTCAATTTTCCTCAGGGCATAGCTTTGAAATTAAGAAACGTTCAGTTATTACTATAGTGAACTTGTATAATGTAAAAGCATTAATTTCCATGTTGAGAAACTAAGAATATTGAGTTAAAATTCAGCTTTGTGTTTGTCAGGTTCAACCATTATATATACACCTGAAAAATCTCATTTTGTGTGGTCTTTATTTTTCTTTCCATTTATAGGACTGTTTGCTGCAGCCCAGGATTTGAACCTTGAATGGGTGATTGTTAAAGGGATATCTCATTTTTCTAATGATAGTAACACTCCTGATGAGTCCTGGAAGTCATTTGCGTCTATCATGGCAGCTTCTCTTGTGTCCAACATGTTAAATGATCCAGTTGTTTTTAAAGAATGGCCTCACTATGAAGGTATTTCACATCTCTGTTCTGATATATTATCAATAGTGACAATTAAACTTTCTGTTCAGGTAATTCTATTTTGATTTACTAACATTTAAAGTGGTTCCAGTTTTAGTGAAAAAAGTTATTTGATACATGGACTGCGACAAAACTTCTACTGACCTTTTGCGCCATGATAATTTATAGTATTGCTGGCAGTACTTTAATTGGGAGTACATGTAATGGCATGCACAATAGAAGATATACTGTTATAATATAGTCTTTCAACCCCTGCCTCCAGTTCTCCTCCACACCTTGTGTAAGTTAATGCCGACTGTGAGTGTAGCAATGACAGTTACCTTCCTAAAAATATCTGAGGAACTTATAATTTCCCGAAAAATAATTTTTCAAGTTTTCTGAAGCTTGTGCCTGAAAATTTGCTAGAAGGAGATAAAAAACATGCACCATGTTACTGACTCAGACACAAACATTGAAATAAAAGTTGTCTTATATTTCCACCCTGGAACCCAGATTATTTTGTCAGTCAATTTAATTGAGTGTGAGATATGTCCCATATACAGCTATTTCGAGAAAGGTTGTAGTTTGAAGTGCACGCAACAACTGGTAAGGTATTGTGGGTGGTTTTGAGTTCACTGAATGGCAGGAAAGGCCATGGACATTAAGTCTGCAAATGCTAAAGGAAAGGAACAAAAGTAGATTCGACAGCTACAGTGTCAGGAACAGTGTATTGAGCATATCCCATAATGCCTTTCCGGAGTGTTGTGTGCACATTTTTTCTGACAACCTTTCTCAAAATAGCTGTATAAGCCAGCTGAGAGCGCCCTTCCACATTCTCTTGTGAGCAGAGTTTGAAGTCGACACTCTTTGTGTTCAGGGGGAAATGAGGATTGATAATTTACAGTATGTGCCAAGAAACCAAGGCTTGTAGTGGCAGAATTGGAAAAGGAAAAGATCTTTTCTGTTTAAAGCTTGCTCTGTACAAGTAGTCAGGGAAATGAAAAATTGACCAATCACAGAGTGAAAAATGACTTATGATAAGGAATTGTCAGGATCGGATCAAGGATAAATATTGACCAATTTCCTAAATGGGCACTGAAGGCAAAAGCTTCTATGAATTTCCGGAAGCGTGCTCCTCTGAGAAATTTTCTGGATTTAAACTCCCCAAAGTCCCCTTTCCTTGGTTTCAGATTAAAAAATTGAGACAGGATATTGGCCAGTTCCATGCTTCTCGGATAAGGCAGGAGAGTGTGTCTAATGCCAGTAAACTGGAAAAATAAAATTCGTCCAAAGCATTTTCCAGTTACAACTTTTAATTCGAAAGTTTTTTTTAAATATTTATCATGAAAAATCTGACAGTTTTTTGTAAACTGGTGTGGATCCGTGCCTGATTCTATTGTTTAATGTTATCTGAGGTATTCAGTTGCTGCTAGTGCACATACTAGAGGTCAGTGATGGGTTGCTGATGGCCAGCACAGTAAATATATAATGAGAACATAAAACAGCTAACTTCAAATAAAATATATCTTACCAAATTTTTTTTTNGACTTATGATAAGGAATTGTCAGGATCGGATCAAGGATAAATATTGACCAATTTCCTAAATGGGCACTGAAGGCAAAAGCTTCTATGAATTTCCGGAAGCGTGCTCCTCTGAGAAATTTTCTGGATTTAAACTCCCCAAAGTCCCCTTTCCTTGGTTTCAGATTAAAAAATTGAGACAGGATATTGGCCAGTTCCATGCTTCTCGGATAAGGCAGGAGAGTGTGTCTAATGCCAGTAAACTGGAAAAATAAAATTCGTCCAAAGCATTTTCCAGTTACAACTTTTAATTCGAAAGTTTTTTTTAAATATTTATCATGAAAAATCTGACAGTTTTTTGTAAACTGGTGTGGATCCGTGCCTGATTCTATTGTTTAATGTTATCTGAGGTATTCAGTTGCTGCTAGTGCACATACTAGAGGTCAGTGATGGGTTGCTGATGGCCAGCACAGTAAATATATAATGAGAACATAAAACAGCTAACTTCAAATAAAATATATCTTACCAAATTTTTTTTTCTTCTGACATCTCACAGATCTGTCAATGAAGAAGCAGCCTACAAGTGAGCCCAAGAAAAAGTTACCAGGTATCATTCTATGGAATCAGTAATATGAGGAAATTATATTATATAACAGACTGAAGTTGGTAACACTGATTAGACAATATTTTGAGTATTGAATGCTGAGATTTCATGAACTTTTGTCTCTATCTTGGAGACAGGTTGTTATCACCAGATGAGAGGTCAGAACTGCAATAACTGTGCCTGCTATAGGTGTGGGTGGCCTGGTACAGTGTAGCTTACAATGTGACACTAACCACTATTAAAAACTTGTATCATGTCCCAGTGAAATCTGCTCACTTGAACCTGTTCCAGATGGAGATAAAAATTAGTTGAATCTCAGGTGGTTTAATTTTCAGGGGCACCCAACGACTGTTTTCTGTAAAATATCTGTTCAGAGAACCAAATATTGCCTAGAATTTTCTATTACTCGAGGACGGCTAGAAATTTGTAGATGACCGTTCCATTCATGTACAAAATTCGAAGCTCATCCAATAAATTGCCTAAGATTTTCTGAAGTTTAATTTTTCACATTTCACTCCCCAGGTTAGGCTATTTTTCGTAGAAAAAAGGAAGCCTAAAATTTTCAGATTCAAAAATGTGATGGAAAGAGGAATCAGAAAAATTCTCTCCTTCGTAACATGTTAAATTACATGTACATCGAAGATTTTTGGGAAAAAAATGAATTTTCAGAGGTGTGCAGTTGTGACGTAAGTCCTGTAACTTGACCTCTAACCCTAATCCTACTCACCTGTACCAAACTGCAAATCAAACCCAACTGTGGAATCTTAAGATTGAATCTTAAAAAGGTATCACTTAATAACACAACAGAATAATAATATTGAGGGAAAATATTCATGCACCATCATTACAGTACATGTAAGTAATTAATTAGTAACAACCTTTAATGTAATCACTAATATTAGTAAATACAAAAATATTGTAGTTTTAATGCCTTATTTATGTATACTGTAACATAACTAGGAGACAATTATCAACTAGTTGTGCTGTTTGCACCATGCACATGTTTACCCTCCCAGCAGACGTTCTTAGGGCTTCGTAACCCGTGGGGTGGGTACACATAACAAAACCCTATGAACATCTGCTCAGGAGGCTAGTGCATATTCTGTATTGATACGTTACTCAAGCCAAAAGCATTTTATTTATATATTTTTAACTTAAAGAGGTTCTTTTATGTAATTAAAACCTTTTAATAGATTCTGTATGCCTTGAGAAGTGCCAGGAACGTCTGAAAATGGTTTATAAAGCAAAGAGCAAAGTCAGAATCATCCCATGGGACCCAAGCTCTGCTGTTGATATTGATGAGATGTACACACAGTTGACTTGGCTTAAGGATCACAGGAGACCCAGTGGTGTGACACAAAACAAGCTTGGAAGGTACACAGAGATATTCAATGGTGGAAAGCGACTTTTGGTTTATGGCAGGCTAGGTATGCACTCTTAAATTTTTTAGTTCAAGCGCTAGCACTGCATGCGGAATTGAATGTATTAAGTAAGGAATTTAAAAAGTACCAAGTGATTTTCCCCCGGGGTACTCAACAAATGTTTATATGGGGAGGCTCCGCCCCGAGGTCCAACCCCTTACCCTTTTATATACCATTTTTCACAAAAAAGGTACCCCTTCCATATACCTTCTATTGACAAATGGTACCCCTTTCACATACCTTGTTTGCGACTTTGCATCCCTTTTAACTGCTGTAAATGCACTGTCTTTTAAATAGGAATCAGTCAAAAAAATAGAATGTTTTCGCGACTTAATAAGCCATAAAATTCATCTGTTAGCCCTTTTGGGCTCTTTCACAGACCCAAATGACAGATTTCCCTACCTTTTATTAATATACTTCAACAAGTGAAATCCCTGCCCTTTCATAGACTTGAAGCCTGAAAAAGATACCCCTTTCGGGCGAGCCTCCCCGTATAGGCCATCATAGGGAGTACCCCACCTCCCCTGGGATATTTTAAACGATTCTTGTCTAACAGTCCTAGCCTCATAATCCTTCTTCAGTTGAGTGTATTTTACTGTTGTAGCCCAAATTACACCCTTCTGTAACAGACCCAGTGGAATCTATATCTTCAGTGGGTTCTCGGAGAAAAAGTCACTGGGTTGGTTTATTTTCGGATTTCCACTGAGTTTCTCGTCATAATTGTGTATTTCCCATAAAAGCAGGAACGGGTGGCAGGCCTTACATTTTTACTGGCAAGAAAACTTTGAAGTAATATATCAAACATGAGATGCAGTGTTTCATCACCAGATGAAACACCGAGAAGAGAGTTGAAAATATGACGCGCAGCGGAGTATTTTTGACGAACTTCGATGTGTTTCATCTGGTGATGAAACACTGTGTCGAATGTTTGATATTTCTTCTCAAACAAAATCATTTTTGAAGGAGAAATTAAGGATGCAAATACTAAGCAGTGTTTCATCCGATTTCCAAACACTCATTAA